TGCATAGCTTGACACAGTCTATGAGACACTCCCTTCCTGGAGAGCAAGGGGCTAAGGGCTGGCCATGTTCACCTAGTATCTTAGCACTAGACAATGCTTGCTGCTTTACTGACTCCAGGAGAAAAAAAGCTCAGTTAAGTCTGCAGGTCTTGGTCAACCTACCCATTGAGTCCTGGATTCTCTGAGTGTTATCCAATCAGAACCTGCTGGCCTGCAAAGACCTCCTCAGAACTGGAAGCTCTCGCTCGGGCCAACTGTTCTTCCTGGCTTCCTGATCCTTCTCCTGGAATGCATTCTTCTGAAAGCTCCAGGAAAAGGTCCCAGGCAGCAACTTCTCACTCTCCAGAATCCAGGAGAAAACTCAACTCCCTACTATGGCCACGGATCCAGCCCTGACTCTGCTCACCACGCCACAGCCCCCATTACTTGCTGCCTACAGAGCTCTCAACGTCACCACTCAAAAGTCACCTCTCAGAACGAGCTGGACCCTTGCCCTCATCCTGTGTCACATCCAGGTCCATTCCCTCAACACCTATGTTCATCTGTTCACTAATTTACTTTTAATTTAGTTTTATTATTCATTGCTAGATACAGAACCCTGGGCTTCAGGGGCCTTAAGGATGTTCTCTGTCTATCGCTGAGTTACAAAGCTGACCTACTAGAAATACTCAGTAAAGGAAGAACTGAGTGGGGGATGGGCAGTAGTTGATTAGCACTTGTCACCTTGCATATCTGAGCTCCTAAGTTTAATATCAAACGAAACTAACTAAATCTTAAAACTAAACTCCATTACATAATGAATCTTGACTACACCTGCAATACAATACAATAATGACTGGTGTCTGGTATCAGTTAATTTAATTTTTTTTTTTTTTTTTTTGAGACAGGGCCTCAACTATGTGGCCCTGGTTTGTCTGGAACTCACTGTGTAGACCAGGCTCAAGTTCAGAGATCCTCCTGCCTCTGCCTCCCAAGTCCTGGGATTAAGGGTGTGTGCCATCATGCTCAGCTTCAATTAAACAATTACTTATTGAGTATCTGAATTGAATTATAGTAAGAGACAAAGACAAAGTTCTCTGCTCTCAAAGAGCTCGAGTTCTGACAGGAAGGAAGAGATGGACAGATAAAGGAAGAACAATGAAATAACTGGGCCGATGAGATGGCTCAGTGGGTAAGGCACTTGCCTGGCAAGCCTGCTGACCTGAGTTCAATCCCAGAACGCACATGGAAGAGGAAGAAGAGAGCCAACTCCTGAGCATTGTACACACTCTCTGTCTACTTTCCCACCCACTACTTTCCCTTTCACATATGTGGTGTGCATATATGTGCATGCTTTGCATGTGCAAAGGGTTACATATGTGCACACAGGCATGTTTAGCCCAAAGCTAATGTCTGGAACTATCCTCGATTGTTCCTCCACCTCCTTCATTGAGACAGGTCTCTCAATCAAGCTCAGAGCCTCCTTCTGGCTCTTGCTAGCCAGCTTACCCTAGGGTCTCCTCTCTGTCTTCTGCGTCTGGGATTACTATCAGGAAAGCACACCCACCCAGCGTGTATCTGGGTCCTGGGGATCTGAACTCCAGGCCTTACTCTTGCCTGGCAAGCACTTTACCCCCTGAGCCATCTTCCCATCCCTACTCTTTTAAAAAGTGAAATAATAGCTAGCAGTTAGATGAAGCACATACTAAGTGCAAAGTGCCATTGAGCACTGAGTAGGTATTACTTATTTAATCCATTTAACAACTCTAAGAGGGATGTATCACTGTTTTACAAATGGGAAAACTTAGACACAGACCGGCTAAGGACTTTCTGAAGCTCACACGGCCTGTGATGGCAGGACCGAGATCCAAGCCCAGAGTCTGGGATAAAGTCCGTGCTCTAATTAAGAGCAACACTTCATATTTGCTGAGTGTTAAATAACTACACGGTCAGCATGCTCGGCAGCTGTTCTCTGGGGGCAGGGCTGGACAGAGAACAACCCCTATCTAAGAAGAGCTGCCCTGTCCAGTGAGCACAGTCATGGGCGACCTGCTGGGTTTCCGCCAGATCACTCTAAGAAAGGGGTCTACAAGAGGGCATAGTCTGAAGGAAAAAAGACACGGGCAGGGGTAGGACTGCCAGCCAGCCAACCTTTACACTCTGTGCAGGTCACTGACCTCAGACACTGTGGAAGACACAAGATGACTGCGGTGGAGACTCTGGCCTCAGACAGCTCAGACACACGCAGAAACACAGAGCTGATGCAGAGATCGTGACAGGCACTAAAGCAAAGGAACAACCTGCTAGGGGACTTCAAAGGAGTTAGCCAGCCCTAGGTCCTCACTGCCCACACAGGTGACCTCCAAAGGCCTCTCTGACAGCATAGAATTAGAACAGCAGACAAGAAGTTTAATTCTATTTAATAGCTCAAGTTCAGGGCTCACTCAGGAGTTCTCTAGCCGGTAATCAAAGCATCCTAACTGCCTTCTTTTCCTTTTCTTCTCCCCTCACTCTTTTTTAATTTTAAATAATTCATTTATTTTTTATAAGAAAGTCTCTCTATGTAGCGCCTGGCTGGTCTGGACTCACTCTGTAGACAGGCTGATCTTGAACTCAGAGATCTGCCTGCCTCCCAGATGCTGGGATTAGTGTATCAGACTATTTATCCCAATTTTTTAATTTTGCAGGTACTGGGCACCAACCTCAGAGCCTCACACATGTTCTGTGACTGCGCTACATTCTTAGCCCCTTCAGCTTCTTTGTGAACAACTCGCCATAGAGGCAGGACACTAATGCCTCCATTTAAATGGTGCAGCCAGATTTGGGAACGGAGCCCAGTGTGTTCTCTCTCCTCTACCTCTAACTGATTTACAAGCTCTCCTCCATCAGAGGGGTGGCCTATTCTGTGAGTACACTGCTGTAACATGGGGATTGTTTCCAGTTAAGCCGTGAGATCCGCCAGACTGCAAACTCAAAGCCAGGAGTCTGAGTCGAACACAGTACCTGTTTTACAACAGACCCTGAAGATTTGCTGAGCTCAACCTGAGTGAAGTCAGATGGAGGTGTTCTCTACAGCGAACTTTCAGGGGCTGCTCCTTGGAGTTTTGCTTCCCAGTTCCCTGCATCCAGTAGCGGGGACACACTGGCTCAAGTTCCTTCCTTCCATTACCATCGTCTAGATTCAAACCCACCACTACCTCTAGCTCGACAATCTCAGCAATCAACAAGTCCCTCTGCCTCCAACCCCCCCCACACACACACACAGTCCTGTCTTTTCATGGCTGACAGAACAAATGTATGTATGTTTGTTTGCTTGTTTGTTTATTTTTGAGACAGGGTTTCTCTATGTAGACCAGGCTGGCTTTGAACTCACAGAGCTCTGCCTGTCTCTGCCTTCCGAGTGCTGGGATTAAAGGCGTGTGCTACCACCTCCCTGCTCGGAACAATCTTTTAAAACTTAGACCATATGTTAATATCGTTCTGCTCAATTCACTCTAATGGCCTCTAACTCTTTTGGATAATGTACCACGCCCTACAAAATACATTCTTTTCACCTACAGACCCTCCCTTCCCCCCCCCTTTTTTTGAGAGAGTCTCATGTAGCCCATGATGACCTCTTGCTCCACCTCACAAAAGCTGAGCCACCACATCCAGGTTATGGATTCTTAGTGTTCCGGCCCCTTCACAGCACCTAACGGTTTCAGCCACTTATTTCTTCACGCATTTATTATCTGTGCTCTTTCCTTCAAGGACTGGCATCTTTCACAAGGTAAGGACTACTTAAGCCCCAGAGCATGGAAGGCACGAATGGCTAGATCTCCGACTCATAGAAGTAACTTCTGTCCACACAGACCACACTGGCTCTACCAGGAAGCCATAAATGAGACACTGGCACTTAACAGTTGGCACCTTTATTTGTGATTCAAAGTCCTGCTTTGAATCCAAGGAAGTGCTGGCCTCTCTGGACACCTTAATGGCAGAAGACATCAGTTAGCACAGGGTTGCCAGCCAGGACCAAGAGCCCAGTGGTGGAGGGAGCCAGAAGACAAGAAGCCAGAGGCCACTTGAGAAGTAAACCTCAAGAAAAACTGACTTGCCTCCAGCTCCTATACCAACATACTGTGCCTCAATATACCCAGCAGTTCTCTAGCCACACTTCCTTAGGATCTGCAAGTGACAGGAGACAGAATAATTAATAGCTAGGGCATAGTTAGACCCTCAGATGGGAAGTGCTGCAAGCCGCACAGTCTCATGATTCATAAAACTCTTGATCCGCTTGGGCCTTCCCACGAGGTAACCGACAGAGTTACTCCTCAGACAAGTTCCACACACCGAAGCAAGCATAGGCTGCAGGCCCTCAGCAGGTCGAGTGGCCAGAACTCCAGGCTCAAGAAAAAGGGAAGTGCAACCTTGATATTGGGGTGGCAAAAAGGAGGAGCTACGTGCAGTTTGGAGGTCCGAGTGGTTAATTTGCAGGCTCACGTTCCCAAGTCCCCTGCGAAGGTGAGACATGTGTGTCTCACATGTACCTTCCATAAACACCAGGGAGAGGTGGAACTGGGGGAGCGGGCGGTGCATTCAAACTAGAGAGGGAGGAAGGGCAGCTGGGCAGACAGACCTTGGCAGCATCTAGTAAGGGAAACATGGAGAGTCAGGATGCTAGGAAAGAGGTGCGGTAAGGTGAGGAAGAGACAGGGTAATGGGACCAGGAGGGTGGACCGACGATGACAAGCACGCGGGTCCAGAGGGGTGAGCAACTGGGACACCTGTGGAGGAGACCCCCAAGAGAAAGGGAGGAAGGCAGCAGGGTGGTCTGCGGCGGGAGGCAGCAGCGACGGGTGTGGTGGGGACGACCGGTCCAGGCCCAGGGCGCCGCGCCAGCGGGGCCGGCCCGGTGGGTCTCGGCGGGGTCGAAGGTGCCTTCCGCGGCCCCTCCCCGGGAGACAAAGGGCCAGCGGCTCCCCCGCGTCCCGGCGCCGCGCCGGCCCCGTGCTGCGGTCGCGGCCCGGCCTCGCGCTTACCTGGGCCGCCCGAACGCGCGGCGTCGGGGGCTGCGGGTCCGGAGCGCGGCGGCCTGTTCCGGGGCGCGCTCAGCCGGAGAAGCAGCTGCGGCGGCGGCAGCAGCACCAGGAGCGGCCGCCTCAGCCTCCGCCTCTCCGTGAGTCACCGCGGCGGGGAGGGAGGGAGGCGCCAGGCTGCCGGAGGAGGGACCGGCGGAGGGGGCGGCATCGGGCTCCGCGCGCGCGGCGGAGGCGCGGCGCCGGCCCCGCCCCAGAGGGAGGTGCCCGGAGGGGCGGGGCCCGAAGGGGTGGAGCCCCAGGACAGGAGAGGAACAGGCATTGGTTATCACACCTTTGGGGCGGGCTGCCTGCTGGAGGGCGGAGCCCTGAGCCTCTGAGCGAGAAGGACAACTCATTGGCCATCTCGGGTTGAGGGCGGGACCAGTGGCTCATGGGCGGGGTCTCGCGGTGGGTGGGTAGGGGCTCAGTCTGTACTGAGAAGCCAGGAGAGGAGCAGGAGAGGCGGGAGAGAGGGGTCATATAGGGTAGAATCTTCACTGAGGCCACTTGACCCAGAACCCAGGAAAGAATCTGAAATGGAAGAGGTTGCAGACTCTTTAGGGGCGTGGTATCTTGGAACAGTTAGGTCTGCTTTTGAATTTGGGGCCTAGTCTGGGGTCTGTGAAGCCCGGAGTGCCCAGGGCCTCTGTAATTAAAATGTTTCTACAGGCAGTCTTGCTGTATCTGGAGAGGTTGAAAGGGAAAAATTGTTCACTTTCACCAAAATACTAATTGCTTTTAGTATTTGACATCCGTTTAAAGAGACATGAATGCTTAAGTGTGGTCTCATTTCCAATATATTTTTGAAATATTTCTGTGTGTGCCTGCATGTATGTATGTGTACCACATGTATGTCTGATGCCTTGGCATTGGATTCCCAGAAATGAATTACAGACGGTTGTGAGCAACCGTGTGGGACTGGGAACTGAATTCTGATCCTCTACAAAAGCAGCAAGATCTCTTAGCTGTGTCATTTATTGGCCCGACCCCAGGTTTCCAGGAGTTGAGCTTACTGTTACAGAGTCCTGACTCGGTTCAGTTACCCCTTCTCCACCTTTCAGTGTCTGCTCTTTATTTCACATTTGATGTACCCTAAGGGGAGGGGGATAAAATCGGGGGCTGAAGAGATGGCTCAGGAGTTAAGACCCAAGTTTGATTCCTAGTATCCACTTCAAATGGCTCACAAGCCATCTTAACTCAGCTCCAGGGGATCCGATGCCCTCTTCTGCTGTCAGTGAGCACTGCATTCACATGCTCGAAGCCGCACCCATATGCATATGGTTTTAAAAATATAAAAATTAAGTGTGGAAAAGATGGGTCAGTGGTTAGGAGCACTAGCTGCTCTCACAGAGGATCTGGATTTGGCTCCAAGCACCCACATCTGGTAGCCCACAAGTGACTGAAATTCCAGTTCTAGAGGATTCAATACTTTCTGCTAGAGCTGGTAAGATGACTCAGGGTTAAGACCACTGACAGCTCTTCCAGAGGCCATGAGCTCAAATCCCAGCTAACAAATGGTGGCTCACAACTATCTGTAATGAGATCTGATGTTCTCTTTTGGTGTGTCTGAAGACAGCTACAGAATACTTACATATAATAAATAAATAAAAACACTCTCATACATGAAGGCTTTGGGCCAGAGTGAGTGGGGCTGGAGCAAGAGGAAGAAGGGAAGGGGGAAAAAAATACTCTTTGCTAGTGTCCATGGCACCTACCTATGGTTTACATACAACAGGCATCCACACATATAAATTAATTGAATAAATTTAAAAACTAGAAATGGTACTCATCCTGGGAGCATACATACTAAAATTGAAACAATACAGAAGTTACTTAGCATGGGCCCTCGCACAAGGATGACACACAGATCTATGAAGCATTCCATATTAAAAATAAAGTTTTAGCTGGGCAGTGGTGGCGCACACCTTTAATCCCAGCACTTGGAAGGAAAAGGCAGACGGATTTCTGAGTTCGAGGCCAGCCTGGTCTACAGAGTGAGTTCCAGGACAGCCAGGGCTACACAGAGAAACCCTGTCTCGAAAAATCTAAATAAATAAATAAATAAATAAATAAATATTTAAATGATAAAAACTAAAACCTTAAAAATACAGTAAACTTTTGTGTATTGTTGTTGTCTGACTACTCCTGGGGAGAACAAACATCTACTCACCTCAGACAGGGAGCCAACTGCAGACCAAAACTCTACCAAAATCCAACTTGGTAAACCAATGAATTTTATTGGTGTGACTTACAGAAGTATGGGTAAAGTTACAGGATCAGAAATGACTCAAAGACAGCTGTGTCACCAAAACCCACCCCAGCATGAGTGACAGCTCACAAAACCTGGAAACCTGAAACACACTGCACAGTCCATAGGCAGCTCAACCAGTTGGAAAATGTTTTTGCCCTGCGGCTCAGTTGGTCCATGCCTCTTCTAGGCAGCTCAGCTGGCTTTATTGCCAACATATGCTTGGGAAGGGAGGGGTCTAGTGAATCTGGTCAATTTCAGGAACTTCCTGAAGCCATTGAATTGTCTACCTCCTGAGCTTAATGAGTTTAGCTGTAGGATGGAATGTTTGATCTTCCCTTAAAAAAAAAAATACAGTCACTTTGACTTCCCTTTAACATTAGTGTCTAAACGAGCTTCCTTCAAAGGTTTTCATCTTAGGAGAAACTACTACACAACAGTTATATGTGTGCATGTTGGTTGTATGTATACATCTGTGTCGAAGTCAAAGACAAAGTCTGGTATCTTCCACTTTTCTTTTTCACCTTATTCTATTTTTTTGTGTGTTTTGTTTTTATTTTTGTTTGTTTGTTTGTTTTTTGAGTTTTTCTCATTGATCCTGAAGCTGAGAAACACTTTGAGTTTTTTTTATTTCTCTTAATGATTTATTTATCTTTATTTCATATGTATTGGTATCTTGCCTTCGTGTATGAGGGTGTTGGACCCCCCTGGAACTGGAGTTACAGACAGTTGTGAGGTGCCATGTAGGTGCTCTGGAAGAGCAGCCAGTGTTCTTAACCACTGAGCCATCTCTTCAGCCTCTTGATGAGTTTTCTTGTCAGGCAGCCTGCCTTAAGGGAGAAAGCTACTAGCTTGGTTTCACTTCGATTTGCTTGTGTGCAGTATCCCAAGTGTGTGGTGTCTTCAGCAAGGCAGCGTGTGGGCAATCAAGAGCAATACCATGCAATGGTGCCTCCATTGTTTTGGAGCCTCTGTGGCTCCCTGGCCACCAGCTCACAGAGAGAGATCCATACCTGACACTGGGATTTTTGTTTAAAGACGTTTATAGCTTCTCGGAGCAGCATTATCCATCCATGCAGAGTACCTCCATTCAAACTTGTTAAAAATATTTTTTTAATTAATTAAGGCTAGACTGGCTAGACTGGGAAGCCCCGGGGCTCTGCCTACTCAGCTCTTTGATTATAAGCTTTTATGTGGGTGCTGGGGATTCAACTACCAACCTCCCCGACTCTTGCAGTAGACATTTTAAAACACTATGCTTATGGTATATGTTGGGGAGGATGGCCTTGTTGGGCATAGGTGGGAGAAGAAGTCCTTGGTCCCATAAAGGCCGGATGCCCCAGTGTGGGAGAATTCGAGGGTGGAGAGGTGGGAGTAGGTGGGTGGGTGGGGGCACATCTTCATAGAAGCAGGAGGAGAGGGGATGGGATAGGAGGTTTCTGGGTAAGAGGGAAATGGAGAAAGGGAATAACATCTGAAATGTAAATAAAATATCCAATAAAAAAAAAAAAGTATGCTTACATCCTGAAATGCTCAGATAGCTCCTTACTCTTGATTCCACAAACTGTACCTTAGTCATAACTGAGTGATGTGGGGAAAATTTAAAAAGGCCGCCACAGCGGTGGGGCCCCAGAGGGGCTTCCACCGCCGTGGCGGGTCCCACAGAGTGACACGGCGGTTATAAGATTATGAGTCCTCAAAGGCCATAAATATGCCTTATTCATGACTGGATCTCCAACAGTATCCAGAAGGCTACTGTACCTGAAGCAAAAACTCAACAAATATTTGCCAATACAGCTCACCAGTGGGTCCTTCAGGTTCCCAGTGAACACACTGATGCAAAAACACATGCGCACAGTGTTTTTTATGTAAATATTCATGTTTCACAAATCAATAAAAACTGTTGGTGTTGCTTGCTAGTCAAGATGTAAGAGTGTGGGTCATGTTCCTGTAAAGACGCGCTTAAGGACTGAGCGGGAGTGCGGACTAGACGTGCTGGCGAGAAGAATGGCTGCTTCTGAGTTTTCCCGAGTTTTCATATGTAATTTTTACAGATTTGATTATTTGGTTTTATGTGTATGACTGTTGGCCTGAATGTGTGTCTGATCACCATGTACATGTGGTGCCCTCAGATCCCAAAAGAGAGCACTGGATCCCTGGAAACTGAAATTACAAATGACTGTGAACTGCCTGCCATGTGGGTGCTGGGAAGCCAACCCTGATCTTCTGCAAGAACAGCCAGTGCTCTTAACCCTGAGCCCTCTCTCTATTGTGTTTATGGTTCAAAATCGCAGTAGATTTATCAGCATACGTCAGCCTCTGAATTACCCCCGTGAGTTCCGAGTTGGGCAATAGGCATCTCTAGGCAGCAGAATGACTTTAGATTAGCTCTGGCTCCACCCTATACCTAGGAGGTAAGGAACGTTTGTCAGTTCTGACAGTCCCTCCTTGGGAAGCAGGAAGAACACAAGCCCAGTGCTGGGATGGACGCCGTAGTTAAATAGCTCAAAACAAACTCAGAAGCAGAACATGAAGGTTAGAATCTGACGTAGACGGTTAATTCTGACTGTCACTATGACAGGGTCTACACTCACCCTGAGGACACATCTGCGGGCATGTCTGCAAGGTATTAACTAGAAGAGGCGAGTTAAATGTGGGCAGCGTTATCCCACGGGCTGCAGTCCCAGACTCACAGAGAAAGCAAGCCGGACACCAACATTCATCTCTCTACTTCCTGACGGCAGGGGTGATGGGACCAGCCGCCTCCCACTCCCACTGTTGTGCCTCCCCATCATGGTGGTCTGTTAAACTACACGTTAAAATAACCCCTTCCTTAAGTAGTTTTTGTTGTTGTTGTTAGATATCTTTATCACAGCAACAAAGAAGTAACACAAACACAGGCTGAAGGTACACCTCTGTGGTGACCTGCCTAGCATGCACAGGCACTGAGTCTGACCCCAGTGCCACAAAAGGAGTTGGTAAACCAGCTTTAAAAATATTTAAATTGGCCGGGCAGTGGTGGTGCACGCCTTTAATCCCAGCACTTGGGAGGCAGAGGCAGGCAGATTTCTGAGTTCGAGGCCAGCCTGGGCTACAGAGTGAGTTCCAGGACAGCCAGGGCTACACAGAGAAACCCTGTCTCGAAAAACCAAAAAAATAAAATAAAATAAAAAATTTAAATGCACCAGGTAGTGACTGGGAGCACTTGGGAAGCAAAGGCAGGTACATATCTGTGTATATCTGTGAGTTCAAGACCAGCCTGGTCTGCAGAGCTCATTTCAGGACAGCCAAGGCTACACAGAGAAACCCTGTTTCGAGAAACTCTTGTTTCAAGAAAACAAAATAACTAACTAACTAAATAAATAAATAAGCAAGCAAACAGACAAGTTAAATAATAAAATTTAAACATAACAACTATTAACTAACAAAAAGTATAGTAAACAGAGCTGGGCTGGGCATGGTGGCTCACACCTGTAATCTCAGGTGCCTGAGACAGGAGGGTTGCCATGAGTTTGAGGCAAAACTAGACTTCATAGCTACATATTGAGCTGCAGGCTAGCCTGGGCTATAGGAGTAAGATTCTGTTTCAAAAACACTAACAAAACAAACAAACAACAACAAAAAAAAAACACTGATGTGACAGGGTGGGTACTTGACACAAAGCCCGATGAGCTAAGTTTGATAAGTAAATGGAAGGAGGGAATCAACTCCACACAGTTGTCCTACACGAGCACAAGTGCACGCACAGCACATAAGGGTGGGGGTGGGGTAGGAGCTAGACAGATGTCTCGCTGGGTAAAGCGTTAAGGATGATTATATAACAAGTCTATAGCCCTGACCTGGGTTCTGATCTCCAGAACCCTTAAAGACAGACAAGATAGTGCATGGCTAATGCTCGGATCTGAGAAGGAGGCAGAGACTTGAGGACCGCTGGAAGCTCACAGCCAGCTAGCCTGCTGTGGGCATAGCTGAACAAAGACCCTATCTCAAACAAGGCGGGATCTGAAGACTGATTCCAGACCGTCCGTAGACTTTAAGATGTGCAGCAAGGTGCTGTGCATGTTTAAGTGAAGCAAGTGCCTTCTGTTCTGATCCCCACACCTGAGACCTGCTTATATTTGGGATGGCTCTAACTTTTCAGAGGATGGACATTTGGAGGCCAGATGCACAGAGGACAGGGGCTGGCAGTCAGCTTCCATCCTCCTTGGTTGTGCCTTGGCAAAAACTCAACCAATTTTCCTTTGGAGATAACAAGGAATTATTAAACATGACGATGAAAGCATTTTGTAGATCTGTGAATATACATATTTTGTCCTGAGTAGGGTAGGTGCAGCTGTGAGCATCTGGCTGGCTGCCAGCCTGCTCCCAGAACGTTGGTCTCCACAGCATTTGATAAGGAGGGACCATCACATCACAAAGCCTGGTATATGTGCTCAGGATCAGTTTACAGAAGTCATTGCCTCTTTCCTGGGGCTAGTAGTTTGCAGACCTGTGAGTTTGTAAAAGAGCACTGGATCAGACTGCGGGTGCAGCTTCGGACATTGTAATCACTCCAGAGCAATGAGATCTCACCTTGAATGCAAACACTCAGCCCGCTGCCTTTACACGTACTTTGTGTGTTACCTTTTGACTGCTGGTTATTG